TTTTTTTTTTGTATTTTAGGGAAGGGTCTACAGGGTGTTCAGGATCTCCCTACTAGATCGGACTCATAATGATCCGCCTGTTTACAGCCTCCCAAGAACTGGGATCGAAGGCGCACGCCACCACGCCCGGTCTCAATTGCTGTCTCAGCACACCCCAGGGGTGGGGCCGGCATGGCAGGCCTGGGGATCCTGGCCCCTGCGCCTGCTTGCAGACGCTTTAATCCACTGAACTATTTGGCTGGTCCTCAAATCCAGCTTTTCAGCTGCCTGTCTGAACCCCTCTTCTCTCCCTGGCCCACAAGGTCAGTCCAGGCTAGTACTGGGCACCCTCTGGGACTTGCCACCTTGCCCTCTGCCTCCCCTCTCCTGACATAGAGGACACCAGGGAGTCTGAGAGCAGTTTGCCCCAAGCCCCAATGTGTCTGGATAGCACAAGTGTGCTTCTGGGGTCGGCCTGGCCTCTTCGATGGCTGTGGTAGGACTTGTGCACACAGGTTCACACACCCACACCCAGGCACAACTCTGTGCAGGACCTGGGACCTGCGGCCTGTCCACGGCAGTTCCTGGTTCCCACAGGGCTGGACAGAGTGAGGTAGGAAGGTCTCCACTCATGGTTCCTGGGCCTTCCAGGCAGTGCTGAGAAGGCTCAGGAGGCCCTAGTGCCTGCAGCCCCTGACCTGAACTGTCTGGTGCAGGTGAACAGCCACCACCTTCTTCATGCAGTCTTTGATCATCTGGGAAGTGAAGAAGTTGGCCTCGCCCTTCTTGTCCACAGCAATCTTGCGGTAATCCTCCAGCAGGATGGGGCAGATGGCCTGGGTGGGGTGGGTCATGTAGATGGGCCCATCATAGCCCACCATCTCACTGAAGTAGGGGAGTGCTCCACAGTGGTCCAGGTGGAAGTGGCTGTGGGAACAGCAACAGTCAGCTTGGGATGGCCCCACAGTCAGCCCGTGTCGGCTCTGGGCCAGTGATCTCTCCACACCACAGGGGGTCTCCTATGCACCAGACCCATCCCACATACTGAACGGTCAGAAGGAACACACAAAAAGTACCTCCTTCCCCAATGTATGGCCAAAGGCCTAGCAAAGCATCAAATCGTGTATCAGCACGTCGTCTATGAAGAAATGCAGGGCTCGGAGGGAACACTGCCCTGGGAGGCAGCTGCTGGCCCTGGCAGGGGTCAGGATCTTCCCAGAGAAGATAGAGGCAGTTGGGACCGCAGAGGGTCTGACCCAGGGAGGTCCTGAGGACAGAGGCATGCCTAGCCCACACAGGCAGCAGCCACAGCCGAGTCCACAGGAAGAAACACCACAGTAAGGGCACTGCACAGGGAGTGGGCTGCAATGGATGGGGACAGTCTGTGGTCAGCAGGGGTCAAGAGGGCTGAACCCTGGGTAGGAAGAGAGGGCAGAAGGAAATGTGCCTGTCCTTGGCTCAGCCTTGTGGGGGAGAGGTGACAGGTCAGTGGGGAGAATGTGAACTTGAAGCTTGGGGTCAGGGCCAAGGCAGACATCTGGGGTGGCCAGCAGAGCTTGGCACTCCTGTGGTAGCATGGGGCCAGAAGACCAGAGTCTGAGGTCAGGGAGAAGGACAAGCAGACGCTGGACATGTGCATGGGTGACCACAAACTAGAAGGAAGTGAAAGGGAGCTGCCACTACTGCCACATGCAGTGGGCCTTGTGAGCCAGAGGGGCCCAGGAACACTGCCTTGGCACTAGTGGGATGGTTCTGGCCTGTTTACCCTGGCTCTGTCTCGACTTCCTGGAGAAACTGCCAGACCCCGACTCTGAGGGGCTGACGTCCTTTCAGGAGCCAGGCACACAGGCAGCCTGGGGACAAAGCCCCAAGCCCCAGGCAGTGGGCAGCTCCCCATGACCCAGCCTGTACCCACCTGATGATCACGCAGTCCAAGAAGTCAGTCAGCCGGCCATTCTGGGTGATGTAGGAAAAGTCAGGGAAGCGCCTCTGAGAACCAAGAGCAAATGTTAGAGAGCAGCCACAGGAGCTGGGGGGATGGCTCAGCAGAAAGCAGCCGCGGGAGCTGGGGGGATGGCTCAGCAGAAAGCAGCCGAGGCCTCCAGCCAGCAGTGGAGCCAGCTAGTGCCCCACAGCAACCACAGGAAGAAGGCCCGTGCACTCCCAGCCTGGGGCACCATCTGTACCACCCTGTTTGTGTATACCCTGGGACGGTCCTACTGCGGAGTGAGACAGCTGCTAACCTCCCAAACCAGCAGCTGAGCACTGAGCCCAGCTTACAGGCTCCTTCAGGGACCAGGAGCCCGCCTCAGTCCAGCCCACCTGTCACACAACGTGACACATCCAGTATGTGGGTGCAGCAACCCAGGGATGCCCACCACTACCCATTCCTCTCATCTGTCCTTATAGCAAAGTCCAGGGACACTGTTAAACGGACAGGTGGGTAGTGGCCTCCCTGCCCCCGGTCTACTGCCCAAAGGACTCACGTCATCATTGAAGCCCATGTGCATGCCACAGTCCAACATGACATTCTTGCCCGCGATGGAGACCAAGATACAGCTGCGGCCCACATCCTGGCCAGCCCCTGCTCAAGCAGGAGGACAGGTCAGGGCACAGCCATGCCCTGCATCCTGCCCCCAGACTCCTCAGCCTCCAGTGGGGGAAGCTGCGACTCAAGGCCACTCTGCAGACGTGTGGTGGGGAAGCAGCGCTACCTCCACCTGCAGGCAAGGGACACGCACAGGAAGGGGCCACTGAGTTACCAGCCACAGCTGCAGCAACTGTGCCAGAGTGCTGGGCACTGTCACTGCCCCCAGCACCAACGGAGCCAAGACGTGGCTCTGTAGGTCCTCACTGGCACTTCCCAAAAGTTCAGGTCCTTCCTGGGTCCTCAGCCAAGCTGAGAACAGCTGAAACCTCCAGCCCCCTGTGTTTGAGAAAGATCTAGAGGCCAAGTTCTTGCACTGGGGTCCCCTTTCTAGAGCCACAACAGAGAGATACCCATGTGGCCCCAGCCCAGCCACAGGGAGACATGACCCTCACACCACTGTACTCCCTCCAGCATCGCCACTCAGCCCAAATCCCTTCGCTCTGCTGACAACCAGCCAGACCCACTACCACCTCTGGCCCAAGACCAGGTAAGACAAACCCATTCTCCCATGAGACTGTCTGCCACCTGCCCCAGCCTCCAGGAGCTCCAGAGGGCAAGAGAGAGGACCTGCTCACCAGGGCTCTGCAAACAGCAAAGGAGGGGCTGGGGAGCTAGCTCAGCGGCATAACCGCCTGCCTGGCAAGCCCAAGGTCCTGAGTTCTATCCCTGGTATGGGGGAGAGGGGGGGTACAAAAAACAGCAAAGGAGTTGGCTTCCACCATTACCTCAATTCAACTCCTCCTGCTGGAATGAGCCAGTCAGCCATCACCATTATACATGGCATACACAGCAGTGCCATCAGGCAGACGGCCAGAGGCAAAGCCTTGAGGTCTTCATTTTCTTGGAGGTTCTGGGGACTGAACCCAGGGCCTTGCTCACTGAGCCGCATTTCCATTCCTTTTTTTTTTTTACGGAACCAGGGATTGAATTCAGACCCTTACGTTTGCCAAGGAAGCACTTATTCTACTGAGCCATCTACCCGGCCCTCCATTCCTTTTTTTTTTTTTTTTTTGGTGGAACCGGGGATTGAACTCAGGCCCTTGCTCTTGCCAGGGAAGCACTTATTCCACTGAGCCATCTCCCCGGCCCCTTATTCCTTTATTTTTTTAAGACAATTTCATTACGTTGAAACTTGAGGCCCCACTGGCCTCAGACGTGCAATCCTTCAGCCTCCCAAGATGCCCCGATCACAGGTAAGGAGGAAATGTGCCCCTGTAAGTGTGGGCTCTTTTGCAGGCCTCTTCCCATTCTCTCATGGTGTGAACACATGAGGGCAGGCTCCCTGCTGTCTCCTCCCCACTGCACCTCAAGTCCTGAAGCCATGCCAGATGCAGATGATAAAAAGAGCCTGAAATAGTGGAGTCACCCATGTGGACACAACCAGCAAGTGTGGGAACAGAGCTAGTGTCCAGAGGCCATGGCCCAGGACAGCCAGTGCTTTGTCACTGCCTGTCCTTCCTTCAGTGGAACCCACAACAACAGCAAGAAGCAAGAATAGTGGCCTGCACTGGGCAGAGCAGTGGGGAAACAGCCTCAACCCAGCACATGGGAGGAGACAGCACTCGGAAGACAAAGGCGTCCCTGTCCATACAGGGCTCTCATCCTAAGATAAAGAGGCAAAGAGACTGCCTAAGTACAGCAGATGGAGGTGGAGAAAAGAAAGGCAGGGCAGGGGGCAAGGTGAACTGAAACCTCAAAACCATGGTAGAAAAGGCCCAGAAAAAGATGACTGCCCACCAGGTAGTGAGCACAGCCAGGTCAGGGGGACAGCTGTGCAAAGGGCCAGTGGTGAAGTGACCTGGGGAGAGTCAGTAGGACCATGCACAGAGCGAGTGCTTCTGACATCCTATCTAGCAAAGGAAGCAAGTTTTGGGACAGCACAAGGGCACAAGGCCACAAAGAAAGCCAGAGACATCCAGAGGTGTCCTGGGATCCTGTGTTTCAAAGGACTACTTCCTTTCTCACACTGTTCTATTCTACTACAGGCCACATTTAGGGTGGGGTTTTTTGTTGTTGTTGTTTTAGAGTTTTTTTGTTTGTTTGTTTTGTTTTATTGCAGTACTGGGGACCAAACTCAGGACCTTGCACTTGCCAGGCAGGCACTTACGCCATTGAGTGATATCCCTGGCAAAAGGCAATTAAGGTTGTTTTTGTTTTTGTTTTGTTTTATTTTGTTTTGTTTTTTCTTTTTCTAAATTGAGGGGCTGGTGGGATGGCTCGGTAGTATAGAGCACCTACTTAGAACAAGCTTAGCGGGCTGGAGAGATGGCTCAGTGGTCTAAAGCACCTACTTGAAACAAGCTTGGCAAAGCACAGGGACCACGGTTCGATCCCCAGCACCACATGCCAGCCAGACCCGCCCCCTGGTGGGCTGAGCTGGCCACACACACACACACACACACACACACACATATACACACACACACACATACATAAATAATAAATAAAATTTTAATAAATAAATTGAACCCAGGGCTTCATGCCTGCTAGATAAGTGCTTTTTTTTTTTCGGAACCGGGGATTGAACTCAGGCCCTTGCGCTTGCCAGGGAAGCGCTAATTCAAGATAAGTGTTCTGTACTGAGTTACACCTCTAGCCCTTTTTCATTTGATACAAAGTCTCATCAAGTTGCCTTGGCTGGGCTAGAACTTGCGATCCTTCTGCATCAGCCTCCCAGAGTAGCAGTATTACCAGAATGTAGCTCACAGCTCTGCTCAAAGCTTTTTCTTTTTTTTTTTTTTTAATGTTGCAGACCAGACACGAAGAGAGTGAGGGTCAAATTAAGTGCTGACTGCAGGTAACCTGGGAGTAAGCAGATGACGGAGGACCCGAGGGTCTCGATGTGGCAGTGCACGTGCACCACTGTAGGCTGGGTGCACAGGCAATACCCACGGGGCCCCAGTCTACCTCGCGGCCACCTAAGCCCCCCAGATACCACACAGCAAGCTCTGGGCCAAGATCCGATCCCACACCGTCCGACTCCCCTCCGACCCGCTCCTCGCTGGCCCGGGAACAAGGAAAGTCATCTCCACTCCTCCAGGAGCCCCGACCGCGCCGGCGCCCAAGGACGGGGTGGCTCGGGGGCCTCCGGGGTCACAAAGGCCTTACCCAAGGGAGTGACTCTGATTTCAGGCATCGCCGGGGCGGCACTCTGCGTTCCCTAGTCCACCACGCTCCTCTGACAGGGAAGACCGCGCCGAACCAGCTAAGCTGCGCCAGCTTCCGGTCGGCTCGCCGGAAACGCAGGCCGGTTGGTGCGGCTCTGATTGGACGAACAGGTAACCAATCAGAGATGCGGGGTGGGGCCAGACTCTGCCGCACTCGGCCGCTGGTTGGCTGCGGGCGGGGCGCGGCCGGGGCGTAACTGGCGGGGTCCAGCGCGAGCCCGGCTGTCTAGGGGTTCTGTGCAGCGTCCCGCCCTTCCCCTCTGCCCACCTCTGCGGGCCCGGCGACCCCGGCCAGGGAAAGGCGAGCTGCGACTGCCCAGGTGAGACTTGCTGTTTCCCAGGACAGTCCTGGCCGTTGTCCCCGGGGAGGCGCAGAGGCGCCCGCCGGCTGCCCGTCCTGCCTTCCCGCGCCCCTTGATGAGCGCTGTTGGCCGCAGGCTCCGCTTCTGGGCAGAAAGGCCGGTCCTCAAGGTTTCTCTGGAGGGCCTAGACGGGACCCTGAGGCTGAGTGGCCATCTGCTCTAAGCAGTGGACACGGCACCCCGAGAGAGCGAGGCGTGCCGGAGACTCCGGAACCGTGGGCGCAAGCCCCAGGCGCCTCCGAGACGACGGGCGGAGCCACGGTGTCTAGGGGCCCAGGGCCGCACCTGTCTGGAGCTCTCAGCGCAGCAGGGGTACTGGTGGCGGCCCTGCGAGTGTGCGGTCGGACCAGGCGTCTAGTACCAAAGGGCACCGGGGACCCCAGGGCAGTGCGGGGAGGTGCAGCCTAGTCCTGAAGCCCGTCAGACCCGTCTGACAGGGTCTGCCTGGACACCAGGCTGAGGCTCTTGGGCCACCAGAGAAGATCGGGGCTGGGATGTTTGCAGGCACCCAGCACAGTGTGGACCCTGAGATGTCTGTGGGGACTGTGTGCAAGCAGAACCGGAAGCCCAGCCCTGCTTCGGGGCCTCTATCCTGGGCCATTTTCAGCATGTTCCAAGGAACTAGAGAGGCCTGTGGTAGTCACCTTTGGTCTCGTCACTGTGTGTATAACGTGTACGGTCAAGATTGGTGCCTGTCCACCCAGAAAATGCCATGCCTACTACCTATGCTGTGACTCCAGGGATGCAGCTGCAAGTGAGGAATAAAGAAGGAAGCAAGGAACCCCAGCCACTCTCCCTTGTGCTCTCCTGCCGTGTCCACAGTATTTATCTCCTAGCCTGCTGTATCAGAATTATTTACTGTCTCAGAGTGAACAATGTGAGTCTGGCCCAGTCCCATTAGAATTTTTTTTTTGCAGAACCGGGGATTGAACTCAGGCCCTTGCGCTTGCCAGGGAAGCGCTTATTCCACTGAGCCATCTCCCCGGCCCGGCCCATTAGAATTTTGCCCCGACAGTGAAGAGCTCGAGGTGCAGCACTATCTATCCTCTGCCAGCCTCTGAAACATTTCTCCAATGCCGGAAAACAGGGACAAAGACAAATAAGCAGAGAGCCTCAGAGGGGAGGCCTGCTGCAAAAGGGATGGAGCAGGGTGGGCCCATGCAGGGACTGACTTGAGTTAGTGACTTGAATAACAAGCACAGGCCATGCCAAGATCTAGGCAAGAGGCACAGTGTGGTTGCCCAGTGCGTCTGAGCATGGCTGCTGGCGAGGGAGCTCTGTGTAAGGGAGCAGGGTCTCTCCGTGGGCTTTCAGAGGGCAGTTCTGCGACTGGCTCTTTCCAGGCCTCCTCCACCTCTTCCGTGGGGTGGGCAGGAAATGAGCCATTGAGTAAACTGACCAGCAAGACAACCCAGAAGCACAGTGTAAAACGTGTTTAAAAGAAAAACAAAACTATGTTTCAGTTCATGCTGGAAAATGGCTGGTTCAGCAGATTTCAACCTGAAACTCGTCCTGGTCAGTTTTAAGCAGTGTCTCAACGAGAAGGAGGAAGTACTGCTGGACCACTACATCACCAGCTGGAAGGGGCTGGTCAGGTGTGTGCAAAGGGGGCTGCCTGCTGGCAGTAAACAAGTTGCAAGTGGCAAGTGGCCGTGCTCCTAGCCAGCACACATGGATGGTATTTGCTTCTTGCCTGGCGCTGGGCACAGAGGGGGGCGCTGGTGGGCCGTTCTCCAATCTCTAATGTCCTGCCTTTCCTCCAGGCAGGCATGTCCCCAGTTCAGAACAGATGATGTGCCTTGTGTAGCAGGCCAGCTTCTCATGCGCTGCACAAGGCCTCAAAGCTCTTGTTTCCCACACAGATTTCTGAACAGCCTGGGCACTGTCTTCTCATTCATCTCCAAGGATGTAATCTCAAAGCTCCACATCATGGAGCACCTGAGGAGCGGCCCTCAGTGTGAGCACTACACAAGCCTGCAGTCCATGGTGGCCTACGAGATGGGGAACGGGCTAGTAGACCTGGATCGCCGCTCCCACCACCCCAACTCAGGCTGCAGAACCATGCTGCGCCTGCACCGGGCCCTGCACTGGTTGCAGCTGTTCCTGGAAGGCTTGCACACCAGCCCTGAGGATGCTCGCACCTCCACACTCTGCCTTGACTCCTACAACAGCTCACTGGCTGCCTACCACCCGTGGATTGTGCGCCAGGCTGTCGCAGTGGCCTTCTACACCCTGCCCTCACGCAAGGCCTTTCTTGAAGCCATGAACATGGGGTCCCCTGAGGAGGCTGTGGAGATGCTAGGCGAGGCCCTACCTTTCATCAAGCAAGTGTATGACATCTCCCAGAGGGTGTACACTGAGCATTCCCTGCTGAACCTGCCCTAGCAGCTGGCACCCAGACCAGGCAGCTCCCCCTGCTGCAGGACTTGGGCAGGCCATGGCCTGCACTCTGCACACAGCTTTTTGGGTACCACTGTCACCCCTATGAGCTGAACTTGCTGGATGCTGTGGGCTTGTGCCTCTCTGAGCTGTGATTTAGCCCTCAGCCTCAGTTACACACATGCTCGGTTCAGGCCTCACTGAGATACAGACAGGTTGGGCAGGGCAGGACTTGGCAAGCGCAGCGGCCAGAAGTGTCCTCTTCCTGCAAAGTGTGTGGCCACAGGCCCCCCCACCTTTTTTTTTTTTTTTTTTCGGAACTAGGGATTGAACTCAGGCCCTTGTTCTTGCCAGGGAAGCACTTACTCTACTAAGCCATCTCCCCGGCCCCCACAGGTCCCTTGATTACAAAGCCTCTGTCCTCCTCTAGCTGCATGCTTAGTTTCCCATGCCTGTCACAGGCCCAGGACACAGAAGGGAAGGATATCTGTGCTGGACAGGCAGCGGCAGCCTCTTCCATACCTCAGGTGGAGGTATGGGCATGGTGGGCTCTCTTCTTGCCCTTTACCTCTTCCTTGTTGACCTCTGCATGCAGAACATGACAGCAGCTTTCTATGGAGGGCCCCTAGAAAGTCCTGGGAAGGTCTCCAGAGTCCCTGTGGCCATCAGTTCCTAAAGGGCATGTTACAAGGCACCCATAGCTCAGCCTGAGGTCCTGGGAGCTGAGCCAGGCCTTGTCCTCCCCAGCCAGCACCCTGAAAGATGCCACATTCTTTCTCCCCTGTCCAATTGCCCCTGTCCCCAGTTATCAGGACACCCTGCTGGGGCCTGGTGTGGGGAGGGGCCAGGCCTGTGCCTACCTTCCAGCCACCATCCAGCACTTGGGGACCTGGCCTATCCAACTGGCTTTTACACTAGATCTGGACAGACCAGGTTAGTATCCACAGGGCAGCAGGTGCGTCAGTGTGAGCTTACAGGGTGTCTGGTCTCTGTTGTATGTGGTATTTTCCAGAACAATAAAACTACTCTTATGGGACTGGGTATGGCATTCCAGGATTGATACTGGGGTATACCAGGTAGCTGACTTGGGGGACTTGGCAAAGGATCCCAGGCACAGAGCTGAAGCATGTGCTCCCTGACACTAAGGGCTTGAAGCTATGGGGACATAAGACCTGCCTGGAACAGTAGCCAGGGTTGGAAGAAAGTGCTGCTTTATTTCCATCCCTAGGGAACATTAGCTTGGTCATTTACCCCACACTTTTCAGGTGACAAAACAGACTTGCCCAGGGTCACTCCCTGGGGACCTGTGTTGGAAGGGCAGGTCTGAGGCCAGCCACACATTGCAGGAGGAGAGGCCCAGGCCAGGGCCCCAGGAGACCACAACTGCAGCTGGACAGGTGGAGGCTGCATACAGGTGGGTCCTCAGCCCTCCACCCTGACTCTGGGCTCTGCCCACCCCCCAGGAGCCAGTGTCCATGTGGGGCTGCCCATGAGGGAGTGGCTGGACACCTGAATCCACACAGGCTGGGAAACAAGGCTGCAAGTGCAGTGTAGCACGTGCACCTTAGGAGGCTTCCGGACAGTGGGGAAGAGCTGAATATCCAATGGGCCCCAGCTGTGGTTGACGCCCCACTCCACCCAGCAGAGCAGGGGCCTCTGCCACTCCTGTCTGTGCAGGGACCTGCTGTAGCCACGAGGTTTCCCCCGAACCAGAGCACAGCATGGAGTGGCCGCTGCCTACCCTCCACCCAGGTGCCAGCAGCTGGAGTCCATTTGGTTACAGGCCTTCCTCCCTCATTTGCATGGACCCCACCTTTGGCCCAGCTGCAAGCTGCCCTGGAGGGGGCATCTGCACACCAGCCAGGGTACAACCTGTGTCAGGGCCGCAGCGAGCACAGCCAGCCACAAGGTATCCATAGCTTCCAGGACCCTTGGCAGCAAAACAGCTACAGGAGGACCCTTGGCAGGTCTATATCACTCAAGATAGTCCCCCCTCACTATGTCTGCAGATGCCTAGAGGGGTCACCTGTAGTCTCCTCCTGACTGGACTTGGATTCAAAGCCAGAAGCCTCCAGGGTGTTTCTGTGCCCAGGAGAAGCCTCATCCCTGACACAGCTGAGACCGGAGGGCCCTGGATACTCAGTATGCCAGCTGTTCCAGGACTGGGGTTGCTCTGGGGCCTGGTCCAGGCAGAAGCCAAGACCGCAGTCAGTGCCCACTCAGAACCTGCCTTCCAGGTCACTGTTGACCTGAGAGCCTAGGAGGGATGTCAGGATAAGTCTGACAAGCAAGCTTCATCAGCAATCACAGCATTTGAAAGGCTGAAGCAGGAAGATCACAAGCTCAAGGCCAGCCTGGGAATCTTAGTGAGAACCTGTCACAAAATAAGGGCTGAGGCTATCCATAGCTCAGTGCCAAGATCGTGAGTTCAGGCCCTAGTACTCAAAAATAATCCTTTGTGCCTGAACCTTCAGGATGTTGAGGATAGGGCCCCAGTTAGCAAGTGAGCATAGCGCTGATTTTGCTAAACAAATCTGCCCCTCCCCATGGACTCACTATATACCTGGGGCTCCTGCCTGACACACTGCTCTCCCTGTTGGAAGCTCCCACCTGCCATGCCAGGGCTAGCTGTCCTGGGCCTCAGCTTTGTGGCTCTACTAGGCCTCGGGAAGGGGGGCTTACTGTGCCTGTCCCGGCAGTTCAGGATGCAGGGTGACTACATCCTGGGAGGACTCTTTCCCCTGGGCTTGGCTGAGGAGGCTGAATTGAGTCATAGGACACGACCCGAAAGCATCACGTGTTCCAGGTATGGAAGTGAGCAGCCAGGGCAGGAGTGAAGAGGCTGGGTTTCCCTGGTCCCTGCACTCTCAAGCCTGGGGTAAGATAGCAGCCACCTATAGTTCTGTGTGGCTTCAGGTTCTCAACCATTGGCCTGTTCCTGGTGATGGCTTTGAAGATGGCTGTGGAGGAAATCAACAACAGTTCCACCCTGCTGCCTGGGCTGCAGCTAGGCTACGACCTCTTTGATTCCTGCTCAGAGCCTGTGGTCACCATGAAGCCCAGTCTGATGTTCCTGGCCAAGGTGGACAGCCGCAGCATAGCCGCCTACTGCAACTACACACAGTACCAGCCCCGTGTGCTGGCTGTCATCGGGCCCCACTCCTCAGAGCTTGCCCTCATCACAGGAAAGTTTTTTGGCTTCTTCCTCATGCCACAGGTAGGCCTACTGCTCCTCATGTCTCCCCACTACCCCTGCCACAAGAGCTCCCCATCAGGAGGTACCTCTGGGCCGCTGCAGGTCAGCTATGGCGCATCCATGGACAGGCTGAGCAACCGGGAGACGTTTCCATCCTTCTTCCGCACGGTGTCCAGCAACAGAGTCCAGCTGGAAGCCATGGTGACGCTGCTGCAGCACTTCGGCTGGAACTGGGTTGCTGCCCTGGGTAGTGATGATGAGTATGGTAGAGAGGGGCTGAGCACCTTCTCGAGCCTGGCCCATGCGCGCAACATCTGCATTGCACATGAGAGCCTTGTGCTCCTGCCCCGCACTGACAGTGTGCGGCTGGGCAAGGTGCAGGATGTGCTGCACCAGGTGAACCAGAGTCAGGTGCATGTGGTGGTGCTCTTCGCCTCAGCCCGTGCTGTCCACTCCCTGTTCCAGTACAGCATCCGCCACAGCCTCACACCTAAGGTGTGGGTGGGCAGTGATGCCTGGCTGACGTCAGACCTCATCATGATGCTGCCTGGCATCCAGCAGGTGGGCACTATTCTCGGGTTTCTGCAGCGGGGTGCCCTGCTGCCCGAGTTCTCCCACTACGTGAGGACCCAACTGGCCTTGGCTGCCGACCCCACCTTCTGTGCCTCTCAGGATGCTGGGCAGGATGTGGAGGAGGACGTGGTGGGGCCACGCTGCCCTCAGTGTGACCAAATCATGTGGCAGAACCTGTCAACCTGGCTGGTGCAAAACCTGTCAGCTGGGCAGCTGCACCACCAGATCTTTGCCACCTATGCAGCTGTGTACAGTGTAGCTCAGGCCCTCCACCACACCCTGCACTGCAGTACCTCCAGCTGCCCCACACAGGAGCCTGTGAAGCCCTGGCAGGTAAGCATGGGGTAGGGGCTGCAGGACCATGGTGCTAAAGCTCGTTGTAGGGGTCTGTAGTTTTTGGGTCAGCCCTACGACCACCCCACCTCACACCCCTCCCCCAGCTCCTGGATAACATGTACAACATGAGCTTCCATGTTCGAGGCCTGGAGCTGCAGTTCAATGCCTCTGGAAATGTGGATGTGGAGTATGACCTGAAGATGTGGGTGTGGCAGGGCCCAACACCCAAGCTGCACACCGTAGGAACCTTCAATGGTAGCCTCCAGCTGCAGCCTTCACACATGCACTGGCACACAACGTGCAACCAGGTCAGTGCATGGTCCCAAACATGCAGGAGCCTCCATGGCCAGAGATTTGGAATGTCTGGTTGAGGGGCACCCAGCACCATGAGCCCACCTGAGGTCCCCTGCCAGGTGCCAGTGTCTCAGTGCTCCCAGGAGTGTCGTGAGGGCCAGGTGCGCCGGGTGAAGGGCTTCCACTCTTGCTGCTATGACTGTGTGGACTGCAAGGCGGGCAGCTACCGGCAGAACCCAGGTGGGTCACCTACCCAGTCTATACAGTTTGAGGGTCAGAGTCCACTCAGCCCCAGTCACAAGGCTGACAAAAGAGGTCAGAGCCCACGGTGGCTGTGCACCCCAGTACCAGCCCACAGAGCCCCTTCTCTCCTGCCTCCTGCAGATGACCTCACTTGCACCTCCTGTGACGAGGACCAGTGGTCCCCAGAGCGGAGCACACGTTGCTTTCCCCGCATGCCCAGGTTCCTGGAGTGGGGAGATCCAGCTGTGCTGCTGCTGCTCTTGCTACTGGCCCTGGTGCTGGGCCTGATACTGGCAGCCCTGGTGCTCTTCATTAGCCACAGGGCCAGTCCACTGGTCCAGGCCTCAGGGGGGCTGGTGGCCTGCTTTGGCCTGGCCTGCCTAGGCCTTTTCTGCCTCAGCGTCCTTCTATTCCCGGGCTGGCCAGGTCACGCCAGCTGCCTGGCCCAGCAGCCTGTGGCCCACCTCCCGCTCACAGGCTGCCTGAGCACACTGTTCCTGCAAGCAGCCGAGACCTTCGTGGAGTCGGAACTGCCACCCACTTGGGCGGTCTGCATGCGTCGGTGTCTGCGGGCACCCTGGGCCTGGCTGCTGGTGCTGCTGCTGGTGCTGGTGGAGGCTGCGCTCTGCAGCTGGTCCCTCGCAGCTTTCCCGTCCAAAGTGGTGACAGACTGGCGGGTGCTGCCCAAGGAGGTGCTGGTACATTGCCACATGCACTCCTGGGTGGGCCTGGGCCTGGTGCATGTCACCAATGCCACGCTGGCCTTCCTCTGCTTCCTGGGCACCTTCCTGGTACAGAGCCAGCCTGGCCACTATAACCGTGCCCGTTCCCTCACCTTTGCCATGCTGGCCTACTTCATCACCTGGGTCTCCTTTGTGCCCCTCTTCACCAACACGCAGGTGTTGTACCAGCCAGCTGTGCAGATGGGTGCCATCCTCCTCTGTGCCCTGGGCATCCTGGCCATCTTTCACCTGCCCAAGTGCTACTTGCTGCTGTGGTGGCCAGAGCTCAACACCCCTGAGTTCTTTCTAGGCCAGGAGCATAGGGACACCACAAATGGAGGTAGGAGTGGGGGCAGGGACAGGGCTCAGGGTGACCGTGAGTGACCCCTGACAGCAGGACCTCAACCCCAGTGAATTCAGCCCCTGCAGAGACCCCAAACCAACTCCTAGACTGATGATCTCGCTTTTGATTCTGACTCCAAGCTGACCTTGACCTTGATCCCACACCTGCACTGTGTGGGAGGGGTCACAAAGCCTGCTCCACTGCCCCAAAGACCTCTCAAAAGTTCTTAGGGACTACAATCATATTCTCAGCTCAGGAGACCAATGGCCAAACAAGGGGAGGCTAAGTTGGGCACCACTCATTCGCTGTTCCTGGGCTAAGCCTGGAGCAGCCAGCAAAGCCCACCCAGAGGGGAACCCGCACTCAGCCTAATCTAGGTCAAGCCCATGGAAGGGGTCCCTGCCTGCCAGTAGTACCTCGGACAGAGTACGGGTGGAGGTGGGCGTCAGCACCACGGCCAGCGACCACTACCAGGACCCCTGGAACCAGCACCAAGGACAGAAAACGGATGGCCAGCACTGGGGACAGAGCCTTCTGGCTGCAGACTTGGAGGATAGTGGCCTTCAGTCAAGCGGGTTCAACGATGGACCGGCCCCTACACCCGAATCCCGAGACATCCTGCAGAGAATAGGGTCATAGGCCAAACATCAGCCCCATAAAATTAAACGCTTTTTAGTGTTTAAAATAGCATTTACACAGAAGCAGCTCTAGTGAACTACCCAGATGCTTGGACTTTGACAGTATCTACAGCGCAGGTGTGCAGAGGCCAGGTGTGCCAAGGCCAGGTGTGCCAAGAAGCCAGTGGGCAGCAGGTGGGTGGCCCAAGGACAGCAAGGCCAGGCCAGGCTGGCTCCTTTCTTCTCAAGACCCCATCTGCCTCCAGCAAGACCCTGTACATTACACGAGGCCCCTCCCTGCTCCCCACCTTCCACCCTGAACTGTGCTCCTTACACCTACTGAGTCCCAGAGTACTGCGGGAACATGCAGAGCGCCCTTGTTGTGTGGGGCGGGAACACCTGCCCAGCTGCCACCCCCACAACAGGCAGGCAATAAATAAATAAGTTAGATCCCACTCTTGGGTGACCAGAGGGGCCTGGGCACACCACCGCCTGGGTGTGACGGGCAGGGCCAGGGAGCCGGCTGAGGAGGGGCTTCAGGAGACACCCCCTGCATCGCTCTGGGGTCAACACAGAGCGCCCAAGAGTGTCCTCCAAGGGAGGTTCCCAGAGCCACATGCTCAGGCAGATCAGACTTGCCTAACGAAAGGATGGCTCCTCCCAAACAGTGTGCAGGGACACAGCTGCTCACTGTATGGGGCCCAGGAGGAGGCGGCTGCCCTCACCCCTGACCTCCAGCCTATACTCGCTGCCTACTGGGCCCAGAGCCCCAGCTGGGCTGGCCCATCCCCAGCTGGCCACCACTAAGGAAAGCCCACTGGCTCCCAGTGCGGCAGGTTGGAGTGCCTGCCTTGGATAGGGTTGAAGGCACTGGCTGCCAGTTACATGATGTCCACAAAGAACTCACAGGGGTTCCCCATGGCCTTCTGGAAAGACTGGCGACTACCAGTCAATTCTGGGGGGATGGCAGCCAGCTCCCGGACAGGTGGGCCCCCAGGGGGCCCACCCACCACTGTGTAGGCCTTTGTTGGGGGGTGCAGCGGAGGGAGCCCCGGAGCAACAGCTGAGGCCTGGCTAAGTGGGCTGCTGCCCCGGCTGAGCTGGCTGACAGGACGCTCCCGCCAGCTGGTGCTGCCTAGTCCGCTGGGTGCTGCAGGGTCTGACTCGCTGCTGCTGCCCCCGCCCCCAGCTCCAGCCGCCCGACGCTCCTTCTCTCGGCCTGGGGCCCGGCGGCTGCTCCGGGTGGACCCGCTGCTTTTGCTCCCTAGGAATGAGGGAGAGGGAGGGCCATGTCAGCCAGGCCCAGCCACCCTGAAGGCCACTGCTGCCCCAGGCAGTCAGCAGAAGGGGCCAAGCAGGGGGCAGCCATGCACACACAGGGTGGGTGCAGGAGCAGCACCAGGGCACGGGGATGGAGTAGCAGCCGGTGGCAGGACATGGGCCATGCTTCACCCTGATGCTTGAACTGAGGGCCTTTCTCCCAGCTGAGAAACCGAGGCCCCAGGGAAGGCCCTCAGTGCCCGGCGTTCCTGCTGGCCATCCTGGGACCCCCACCCAGAGACCCACTGTCCACCCACCCTTTGGTCCTGGTCAGCTAACCACTTGGCCCCTGTCCTGGGCTCCAGGAAGCCTAAGGACAGAGGCTCGCTAGGGACATGCCAAGAGGGACGCCGGGGAGGGGGGAACCTGGCTTACCGGCCCCGAGGGTCCATTCCGCTACTCCTTCAGTCTAAGGCTTGCTCAGCACAAAGCAAGGGATAGCACGAGTTACACACTGGGCCCACCACCAGCTGGGTCTGGCAGTGGCGGGGTCATGCTTAGATAGGAGCAAGTGTCCATCCAGGCTCCAAAGACCAACAGCTTCCCCGAGGCACGGCCACTCCCCGCCCCTGCCTTTCCTGTCCTCCCCTGGTCCCCCGGGCCACCTGCCTGCTCCTCTCCCCAGAAGCTGCACACATAGCCACAGGTTCACGGTACCACCTAGCCTCAGCTCTGCTCCAGCAGGCTCCTTCCAGTTCTCCACAGTTCCCTGTGGGTCACAGAGGACCCTGGGATGGAGCCTACCCTCCCTGTGTTCTGGGCCTGGAACATGACCCCTTTCATCAACCAGCCTCGGCACAGAGCCCCCGCCACCATCTCCTAGCTCTAGCCTCTGCCAAACCTGGACCACCTGCCCCACCAGGTACAATGGCAAAGCCCCAGGTTTCCTGAATTCTCTCCAAGACCCAGAGGAGGCCCCAGGGCCCAAGCACACAGCAGAGGTTCAGGGCAGCGGCAAGAGGGCAGGATGGGCGGCGGGCAGCAGGGGAGCTGGGCGGGCTCTCACCTTCACTCTGCTGGCTCCCAGCGCTGCCACTGCCATAGCTGAAGCCGGGGTCCTGGTAGGCGGGCGGGAAGCAGGGTGGGGGCCCAGAGTACTGGTATGGGTAGCCCTGGCCTAGTGGCCAGGCGGTGGCTGGGTGGGGCAGCGGGGCCAGGGTGTCCTGATCCGAGGCTCCACTGGAGCCACTGTGGAGATTCAGGGCTGCGAGATCTGGTAAGGGGAGGCAGGTAAGGAGTACACAAGTCCTGGTCCCCCAGGCCCACTCAGCACTGCACACAGGCCTCAGCCCTCACTCACCACTGCACAGGTCCCCAAAGACGTAGTAGCACTGCTCAGAGAAGGTAATCTTGTTCACCGTGTGCCGCAGGAAGCCGCGCCTCAGCATGCTGCCAGCATACTTCCTGGCCTCGCGCCGCTCCCGGAAGCCCTCTACATGCGTGTACAGCCAGTCTACCACATCCGCCCCTGGCCACACAGCCAGTCAGGCTGGAGCTCAGCCGGCTGCCTCCCCACCTCACTCCAGCCCACCCCAGCTGGCAGGGACCAAGCAGGACTCACCAATGACAGCACTGGCAATGGTAATCTTGAGCCACATGCGGTCACGGATCTCCAGCCCAGAGTCTGGCAGCTGCATGACCCGGGCAATGGCGCTCATGTCACTCTTCACCGTCAGTGGTGCTTCTTCCAGCTCTGCAAAACGCCCTCCTCAGCTCAGGAGCCCAGCCTGGGAGCCCAGCAGGGCTGCAGGACGGACCCCCAGGCATGAGGAACAGGCCTCTGTCCCGCCCACAGGTGCCCTCACAGGATCTCAGACCTCAGTGGACCAGGCCAGCCCCACCCACAGGCCAGAGGGGCAGCTGGGTCCCACCCTCTCGAGCCCCCCAAGCTTGAGCATTAGTCGTGTTAGGAGCGGAAAAGCAGAGCGGGCCACAAGCCCCTCACCCCCACCTGGCACACCCAGTCCTCTCTGCGGCCCACACTAGCAGGCACAGCTGTGGGAGGGGCAGGAGTGCATCTGTGCATGTGTGTGGGGTCTGGGGACAGGCCAACACCAGTGCTGGGCTGGTGACAACCCAGCACAGGAGCCCAGCGTAAGGCTGGGCCAATCCATGCCCTCCAGCCGTAGTTTCCCCACAAGGATCTCATGAGCTGCCACTTACGTGGAGCACCAGGCACTGAGCTGGTTAGTGAGGAGGAGCTGGAGCGTGTGACAGCGCTGGAGCAGGGACTCGTACCATAGCGGGGCAGGGCACCCGTCAGCGCCGCTGTGTGAGACAGCCATGCGGCTGGGTCGATGGGCCGCACAGGGTCAGCTAGACGGCAGCAGACGACACATGGACACAAGACAGAGAACAAGGCACAGAAATGACAGGCCTTCAGGCTGGGGCCCAGGACCCCCCATCCACCCCCCTGCAGGGTCACTCACCCCTTGGGATGGTGAAGTAGCTCCGGGGGGTCGGGTCCCAGCACTTGGCCACAGTAAGGCTGATGGGCCTGTGACAGGCGTCACACAGGTAAGGCCCTTGCAGCCTGCCCTGCCTGCGTGCTTGTGTCTGTCCTCTCGCCGTGACCCACAACCTGTAACCCCAGCCTAAGACACGCCCCCTGACCTGTACCCACAGCCTCACCCTGTCTGGGACACGATCTCCCGGAGCACCCGCACAGCATCATCATTGCTCATGTTCTCAAAGTTCACGTCATTCACCTGGGAGGATCTGGGGTCAGGGCCAGTGGTGCTGGGAGAGGAAATGCCCATGCCCAATCCCCAGCCCTAAGGCCTGCACCTGCAGCAACATGTCGCCAGGCTCGATGCGGCCATCAGCAGCCACAGCCCCGCCCTTCATGATGGAACCGATGTAGATCCCACCGTCGCCGCGGTCGTTGCTCTGGCCCACGATGCTGATGCCCAGGAAGTGATGCCTCTCTGCAGGAGCAGCCAGTGAGCAGCCCCACCTGGCCTGGTCCCACCCGCTCACCCTGCCAGCCCCAGGCCTCACCCATGTTGAGCGTGACAGTGATGATGTTCAGAGACATGGTGGAGTCGGTGATGCTGCTGAAGGAGGAGGCCTGCAGAAGGGCCCTATGAGGCTCGGCCGGCACCCGTGCCCCCAGTACCCCTGCTGGTCCCGCTGTCCCCACCACCCGGCCGCCTACCCGGTCTGCCTGCCGCAGGCGCTGCTTCCGGCGCCGGCGCTTGTGCTTTCGGATAAGCCGAGAAGAGGTGCTCTGCTCAGTGGAGCTGCTCAGCCTGGGGCAGGGGGAGGGCAGAGGGCAGAGGGCAGGGTTCAGGATCTACCCCAAACCCTACATATGGGATATGAGCCCACGCCCACGCCCACCAGCAGCCCTACCCACCGGCTTGTGTTGTCCTCCTCATCTGAGTCAATGAAGCTGCTGGACTCCAGTTCGCTGCTCAGCACAGTGGACGTGCTATCCGGGGGCAGCCCCAGGTCCCGCCGCCGGTCCCCCCTCAGGTGCCCATTGGTGCGCGTGGCTGCAGGCCAGCAGGTAGAAGCTGATGTGGGGCCTGGTCCAGCAGCTGGCGGGTGACTCTAGGCCCACAAGGGGCACCAGGCCTGGGGCCTCAAACCAGGGGACTGGCAGGGACTTGGGGCCCACCATAGGGTGCCCAGGGAGGCTTGGGGCCCAGGGCAGGGCAGACACAGCCACAGTACCCTCCTCACGGTTCCGACGCCGGGCTCGCTCCCTCCGGTGGCTGATCACAGACTCTGTACCAGTCTCGTTGTCCATCCCATCGCGGCTGTGGGCCACGTTTGGGCTGCACAAAGGGGGTGGGATGGAGAGGCTGTGCAGCCTGCAGCTCAGGACCCCAGTCCCTGCCCCTCAGATGGGCCTCGGGACACCCGGAAGCTCAGTCTGCAGGGGCTTACTGGAAGGAAGGCGGCCGGGAGTCCCCAATGCCACCTGTCCGCTCAAGGGCTGGGGGCAGGTCCGTGTGGCTGTCGGTGCCCTGGGACCCTGCGTCTGAGTGAGCCCCCTCGGCCAGGACCAGCTGTGGAAGGAGAGTGAGGGCTTGGACACCCAGCTTGCCTGGGCCCCTGCCCTCCCTTGCTGGGCCTGCCAGAGCCAGGGCCACAAGCACCACCTCCCTGGGAAGAACTTCCACCCATCAGGGCCCAGCTGAGCACCTTGGGAGCATGGAGGACTCACCCAGGAGACCACACGGCCATTGAAGCAGGGAAGCTTGGCGTTGTCATCAAATATCTCCTCCTTCACCACCCTATGGACAGGTAGGCATGTCATCTGTGGGCACCCAGCCACCGCGTTCTCTTCTCATGGCCCTTTCCACTCTGCACTGGCCCTACAGCCTTGGGGCAGTGGACAGGTAGGCAGCTCATCAGGGCCAGCCTAGAGCTCCTGTCCGATCCCACCCAAGGAGGGGGGGAGGGCAGCCAGAGGGAAGGATGCCCAGGAACAGAGCTGGCATTGAAGCACCCTTGCTGCCCTGTCCACACACATGTAGCTCCAGCCCCGTCCAAGCCAGTCTCCAA